GAAACATGTTCCCTCACTCAGCGGAGACAAAGGTGGCGGGGTCTCTGCCCGGACTTCAGTGCACAGAGCTGCAGACCCGGTACCAGGACAAGCTGAGATGCTGCCGGCCAAGGGCTGGGACACTGAGAAGTGCGGTCCCCAAGAATGCTTGGCCTTCAAGACCTCATCACAGTTTACAAACAGGCCGTAGGAAAGCAAAGTGATACTGAGAAATGTCAAGATCCCACAGACCACGTGTTTAAGAAGCAGGGGGTGTAGAAACTTGGGGTAAATCACCGTTCTGGATCATTCGACACCATGGGAATCCTGTTCCAAAAATCGACTCTTGGCTCAAACATCCAGGTGTGTTTTCGTTGTGTTTTTTTAACTCCGTGGGCCATGTGCAATGCTAGAGAGTGTAGGGCAAGGCTAATATTTGCTGCGCACTGTAGTGTAGTGTGATGGTTAGCACACAGCAATGCCGTCACAATCTCTAGAGGCTACAGGCCTTACTAAAAAGATCTACTGGATAATTTGGGAATTGCCAGGGAGTTAGTATCCTGAGAGCTAGACACAAATCCCTCTTTCGGGCACATTATTTTTTCTCTGACTGCAGAATAAATGGTTTCTTTTTTTCATTAATGATTTACATTCCAGGTCATACTTTGCACCCCAGAGAGTCCCACGACTTCAATCCTCCTTCAAGCCTTGAGGAAAATCACTTAGGCAACCCAGGGGCAGGGTCTTTTCATGACCAGAGGACTCGAGGGTCTGTGGGGGGCAGGAGACAGCGCCCCGTGGTGAGTGGGTGCTCCAAAGAGAGAGAACTGCGTTCCTCTCGAGATGTTTCCGTCTTTCCTCCCCTCGGCCTCCTGCGAACTGCCCGCCACGGACCAGGGTTCAAGCACTAGCCCCTCTGAAGCCCCGGTTCCGCCTGCGGGAGCTGCCTGGACTTGCCCAGCTGTTGCTCTTGCTGCTGGTTGTTGAGAGGAAGAGACAAGGGACATCAGACACTGCTGGGCATGGGCACTGGGCGCAGAGGCCTGTGTGCTTCCCCCGCACGCGGCAGGGTCCCACTCCCCATGGGAACCCCCAGTCCCTTCCCCACAGATCACGGGGGGAAGGGACAGCACAAAGGGGCTGGTAGACCCCTGAGCAGTAAAGTCAAATGGTGCAGGGTGGTGTCCGGCCGGTGTGGCTCAGAGGTTGAGCATCGACCCTGCACCAAGAAGTCACCAGTTTGATTTCCAGTCAGGGCACAGGCCCAGGTTGTGGGCCCCATGCCCAGTGGGGGGCGTGCAGGAGGCAGCTGGTCGATGTTCTCTCTCATCAATGTTTCTCTCTCTCTCTCCCTCTCCCTTGCTCTCTCTCTCTCTCTCTAAAAAAATCAATACAGAAAATAATTTTTTAAATTACTAGCTAGGGGGCGCTGGAGCCAATGCAAACCAGCAACGTCCTGGGACGATAAGACTATAACTGATTATTCTGAAAAAGCTCCTAGTTAAGATCTCAAGGCTGAGCAGGCTCTGAAGGACTACCCAGCAGGACCTCTGGGCACCGGCCTTTCGCTGGCCTTGCTGAAGACACGATGTGCGTGGACAGAGACGGGACACGATGTGCGTGGACGGAGGTGGGACACGATGTGCGTGGGCGGAGGTGGGACACGATGTGCGTGGACGGAGGTGGGACACGATGTGCGTGGGCGGAGGTGGGACACGATGTGCGTGGGCGGAGGTGGGACACGATGTGCGTGGACGGAGGTGGGACACGATGTGCGTGGACGGAGGTGGGACACGATGTGCGTGGACGGAGATGGGACAGGCTGTGCGTGCACGGAGATGGGACAGGCTGTGCGTGGACGGAGATGGGACACGATGTGCGTGGGGCACTGGAAGTCCCAGGGCAGGGAGAGTCATCACCGACAAACCCCACCGCCTCTCCTGCGTGCGGATCCCTGAAATGCTCTCCTTGGGATCCCGTGGGAGACCTGATTTCTGCCAACAATGCCCCTGTACCCCACTTCTTGGCTGAGCTCAGCTTTTCTAGCCACTTTGCTTTCATGGTTTTGCATTTACCCTGAAATCTTCCTTCTCTGGGAATGTTCTCCGAGCTCTGAAGGTGCAAGTGGTTTATGAGCAAATCTGGACCCTGGCATCCCTGTCCCGAGAGCAAACGTCTGTTGAGGGCTCGCGTCTTGTTACGTCCCTGGGACCGACTCAGCTCAATAGTGTGCTCACAGATGTACTTGAGACCCCACCATCTGAAAGTCTAAAGAGAAAGATTTAGGAAATATCTTTGTGCTGGATGAGCCGATCTCGTGTGTGTTGCAGAACGGAAGCGTGTTCCCTGTGAGACAAGGCGCAGTCCTCAGTTAACATACAAACATACAGACACGGGTCCATGCTCACGGCTCACCTCAGGCAGAGATGTGTCCACGCGGACACGGAAGGATGCAACGTCTCAAGGCACAACGAGCATTTTCTTAAAAATAAGCAATACGTTTTCCATCTAGTGCGGCCGCTGCTTAGAAGGGAGGTGGGCGGGCAGGAACGGTGGGTTCCCCCTCCATCCTTATAACCAGGTCTACCTGTTCCCGTGTGGGGCTGCATTTCAAGAGCTCATTTGGCCTTAACGCCTATTCTCCAAGTCTCTCTCCCTGTCTCTCTAGGCATCATGACTTCCTTTCCAATAAAACCACATTGGGTTCGAGCAGATTTTAGCTGATTTACAGAAAAACGTATAAATAGTTACGGCTGTCTAAAATAAAAAGGGTTGCATTGATCATCTTGAGCCTCCCAGTAAAGAGGAAATTACTAATTAGAGTGCTGGTGTTCAAGAGGTTTCTGTCGTTTAATTGATTTATTTTTCTATAATTCCAAATTCTATCGTTATGTCAAGAAAATAAGTAATCTACATTATAATGTCTAACAATTTAGCATTGAAAACTTTTATAACGGTGTTATCAATAATGTTCTAACAGGACCAATGGACATGGACAACTAAGCCGGGGACGGGGTGGAGGGGGGGTGGGGTGGGGGGTGCCAATGGGGTAAAAAGGTAAAATATCTGTAACAAAAAAATAAATAAAAATTCATAAAAAAAATAATAATAATAATGTTCTAACAGCTAATTTGATGATATTAAGTAGAAATTATTTTCATCAACGTTTTTTCATCCTACACAATAAGCAACTACTAATCACCTAACATTTCCACAATGTAAGAGTAATAAAAATCAATTATATAATGCTTGCCCGCAACATGCAGATGAAGGTGGAGTGATTTTATTCACAGAAGTATAAAAAACAGGCTAATACTTGTCTTCCTACAAGGGACTAGGGAAGTAATACAATTTACCTTTATGCTACCTTCATCTCTAGATTTTTTGTTTTGTTTTGTTTTTTTAATCCTCACCTGAGGATATTTTCCCATTTATCTCCAGATAGAGTGGGAGGCAGAGGGGGGAGAGAGAGAGAGACATCGGAGTGAGAGAGACACATCGACTGGTTGCCTCCCGCATGACCTCTACCAGGGCCGGGGACCAAACCACAACCGAGGCCCGTGCCCTTGACCAGAATCAAACCCACAACTCTGGTCCGCTGGCCGACGCTCCAACCGCTGAGCCCAACCGCCCAGGGCTTCGTCTTTAACTTTAAATAGTTCTTTTATCTTCTATACCTGACTGCCAGGATTTTTAAATGGAAGAAAAGCCTCTGACTCATATTTCAGAATTTCTTGCTCCATTGTATATGTTCTGAATAAACTAGCAGCAAGTTGAAGAATTACGTATCCCCCTAAGGCGGAGCCCTTTAACACACTTAATATAATTCTCCTGGGTCTGGGAATCGTCTGGGGTCCAATCGGCCTCCCCAGCAGGGAGGCCGGTCTCGGCCACCTCGGCAGAAGCGTTTCGCCGCCCGGCGTACTTGAGTCTCACCGTGACTTCAGAATAGTGTGTGACTTGTATGTGACAAGGAGGCTGCTGCCTGTGGACGTCTGGAATTCAGCCGTCTCTTATCCCACCTGCTGTGACCTTGACCCGCCTGGGCATGGCCAGCCAGCGTGCGTCTTCTCTCCGCGAGGACGCTCCTGTCGCGTTGGGACGCCCGAGTCACCCTTGAAACCGGCAGAAGGTGATTCTGGCAAAGCCCCTGTTTCTTCATAGGAACTTAGTTATTCTATTTGGTTCTATCAGTCAAGCCAGTTCCCAGTAGGGGAGACTTCGGTCCAGTGGTTATCAGTAGAGATGCTGCCTAGGGATTTTCAATAACAAATGAGAATATAATGAATAACCGACCGGGCTCAAACGTCCTCCCGTTCTGCTTTGTTTCAAGAGCCAGCGACACTTGCCAGAAGGAGGTTTATGTTAACTCCCTCTTGCCCTTGATAAGCAAGAAGAGGGCTGGAAGGGAAGGGTCTCCTCAGTAGGATTTGCAAGGAAAACAGGGTTTCTCCTACGTCAGCGAGTCAGAATTCTTATTTCATATTCCGTGCAAGTCTAAAATCCACTCAACATTTGTTTTTAATCAACCGCCGTGACTCCTTTGTGACTCCCCAACTTACATCTTCCTTTGTTTTCCGATAAAAACAAAACAAAACAGTCACTTTTCACCTCTGATGGGACGCGAAGTGATAAGATCAAATCATGATCTCATCCAGCCCAGGGACGGATGGACGAACAGTCCTTCAAACTCAAACAAAAAATTATTTTCCATGAAAGGGCCTCTCTACACGACCAGAGACTACAACTGACATATGAGCACGCAATGAGCCAGGCATTAGAAATAAAGAGAAATATAAATCATAGACAGATAAACGCCTCCTTCGCCAGGAGGGCTCCACGTACTCAGCCGGCCGCCCCAGCAGGAGTGGAGGTCCGCTGACGACGTGAGCGTGCTGATGTTTTCCGCAGAGCCCCGAGGTTCCCGGGCCCCCTCCCACAGCCCAGACATGTATATAAACGTTGAGTTCTGCAGAGCTGCCAGTTCAGCTTCTGGACGGGCTGCAGAGCAGAGGCCAAGGATGACTCCTCTCCTGCCCACACTCTCTCTCCTCCTGCTGGTGGCCGTTAACCCTGTAAACGCCAACGGTTATTATGACAAGATTTTGGCTCACAGTCGCATCAGGGCCCGGGACCAGGGGTAAGTCAGTGTGCACAAACCCCTCTCCCCTTAGCTTGTTGCATGGACAAGAATACCTCTTTTTTCTGCTCACGACAGAATAATAAGAAAAAGGGGGAAATTAGGATTCTGTGATTTTCGTGTGTTTTAAACTTTAAGAATTACTTTCAAAATAACTTGTGTACAGTGGCTTTTTATGAAATGGTATATAATGCTCATTAACAACATTGAACAAGGCATTTTTTTTCAAAGACACCATTTATTTGTGTTTTTATTTCCTTCCCAAATCTTATGAAAGGCTCTGTGGTTCGAGGCTATCATTATGTAAACAGCTTTGAAATGTCTCCCATGACTTTAGAAAAAAACATTGTGTTAGGTTTTGTCTAAAAATGAAATACTGGGGAATGTAACTCACTAGGGCTCTGAATTTTTTGAGGCATTGAAGAAGGCTTTTGAATTTTCGATCCAGTGAAATCGCAAGCCATTCATATTTCTTAGAATAAATTCAACTGAAAGGAGGCATTTTGAAAGTTGTGTCGTAATTTAGCATCTTAACCAACCAGGCAGAATTTCTCTGAAAGGGATTTGGGAACTTCTCGCCCTGTCCGGAAGGGTCTTTCCTGATGCTCAACTGTGCAAACAAGACTTCCGTCTCTTTAAGAGAGAAGGACTCAATTCTGGCAAAGGATGCCCTAGTCTTTCACGCCACCCAAAGAAATGAGTTTTGCTTTGTGCAGGCATCGTATGTAAGTTCACTGTGGCTCTCGTGCAGTTGTGATGACTTACCTAGAAAACTGAAGAATGTGGCGTCTGCTCGCTGACCTCTCAGGTCCCAGGGAGCCTCACAGGTCCCCACACCCCCCAGGAGCACGGGTTTGGTCTACCAGGGATCAAAGGGTTATTCACAATGAGACAAAATTGCATTAAATTGGATGCTGCTCACATAATCCCATTAGGTTCCCTTCTGAAACACTGATGTTTCACTCTCAGGGATGCATCATCTCTTCTCTCTCCCAGAGACTGGACCCAAAGCAGGTTTGAGCACAGTCCAGGATTACACCCTTGAAAATCAAATCCACACGTCAACTCTCTTTGTGACCATCTTACCTGTAGATTTAAAAAAAAAAACACAACTAGATACCATTAGGACATGAACCCTATTTTTCTGTCTTTCCAGCCCCAACGTCTGTGCCCTTCAACAGATCTTAGGCACCAAGAAGAAATACTTCAGCACCTGTCGGAATTGGTACCAAGGTGCCATCTGTGGGAAAAAAACGTAAGTCGCATCTTCTTCTTAATGCGCCACCTGCCCAGGCAACGGTGATGTTGAGGACTGTCCTTGGGGGTGCCACACCCTGTTTTCCTCACACCCCAAACTGTGAGCTTCCTAAAAAAGGAACGGATGCCAAAAGTCAGTGAAGAAATTCTCCCTGCACTTCTCCATGTCCTTGGGGAACCCCATTCCTGAACCTAAGGGGCAGGGGCCCAAAGACACAAGTCTCGGGCGGGGTGGTCCCGGGGAGACTCGGTGCGAGAGGTTGACTGTGTCATTTCTACCCTCTCTTTTCCCTCAGGTGAGTCATTTAACCTTCATGCCTCAGTTTCCTTATTTGATAGATATGTATATATTTTTAAAAAATGGTCCGGAAGAGCAAAATGACCTGAAATAGTTGCGTTTTTGAGGCACAAATGAATGTTTCCCTCCAGTCCTTGGGAAATCACCTAAAGTACTCAACTGGCCTTAGGTTTTTAATCAAAACTCTAGTTTCCAAGACTTTGAACATTTGATCTCTTCCTTGAACAGTTATTCGATTCCCAGCCTGATTCCCAGGGGTCCACAAAGCGCCCCCCTATCATTATTATTTCAATAGCCCAAAAGACAGCTTATTCTTTAACTTAGTTGTGTATTTCACCAATTAACTTAAAGTTGGAAAACATTTTTTATTACTTGATGGACATGCTTATTTGTTGAATCTGCTAATAAATATTAGTAGAAACAATATAACAGTGGGCATATCAAGGTTGAGAAGTACTCATGTGGTCCAGATTCTTCATTTTATTTTTATTTTATTTACTTATTTTATTTATTTATTTTTTTGGTACGTGCCCCTAGCGGGAACCGAACCCAGGACTCTCTGGTCCGCAGGCCGATGCTCCAACCGCTGAGCCAAACTGGCCAGGGCCAGATTCTTCATTTTCAAATTAAGGAGCTGAGTCATAGAGAGAATAAGTGACTAAGTCAAAAAGATTAGAGACTTTCTCCCCAGTCAAGAAAACAGTGGAAACAACCCCTTAGTTCTTATTGACTAGGGCCCCACCCTCAGTGAGGGACGGTTAGAAGCAGAGTTACCTGGAGACGGACCTGCTCTGCGCAGCACCTTTAAATGTGTTACTCTAAACAGTGCGGACGGATGGGAAGATGGTTAAAAATTTACTCTTGACTTTAAAATATTGGTACAAATAATAAATAGGAAATCACATCACCATCTGGAGACTTCTTCTTTGTTGTTTTTTGTTTGTTTTTATTTGTTTTACCTGTGAACTGTGGACTTCATCCTTAGAGAGTTCTTGAAGGTAAATTGAAAGGAAGAATGTGAAACTGCAAAGTAACACAACCCCTGTTGTCCTTTTATTTTAATTAGTGAGCATACGCAGATGGGAAAAGGAATTGTGAGCAAATGTCTATTTAAGATGCATACGAGCATTTTTATTTCCAAATAAGAATCATGTATTCACGGCAATGACCTTGGCTGGACTGTCCAAGCGTGGACACCACAAGACACTGCTGTCCAGCCCACTCCCTGACTCACCAGATTCTCAGCTGATGTTAATTTTCAACCAAGATGGTCCTGCTCGTTGGCAGACATCTGGTCGACCTGTGACTCATTCACACATTGACGATTCCAATTACAAGTCGGTAGTGACAACGATCTTGACCATGATTCAGGCCCCAGTGGGGACGACGAGGCGAGGCTCTGAATTCAAATATCTTTGTTCTTTATATTCTTGGTGTTCATGGGGCATATTTGGAATGCGCATTAACCACATGAGAAATGACCTGTTCTCCAAAATATGTAGGGGAATCTTTACTGTATCCCCCTGGAAATAAGATGTGTGACATAATCTTATATTAACCACCTGCATATATTAGAGATGCCGAGGCTTGTACAAAGCATATGCCAAGATTCTTTCTTGCTTTCTATTAAAATTTTTGTTTTTCTGCTTTGAAGCTGGCGTTTTACCAGAAATATAATATCTCCTTTGTTAAATTAATTAGCTTTCTTCCCCCACATTTTTCACAAACACTTTACATCTGTGCTCTCGAATCAACGTAAATCCCGGTTGTTAGTTTCAAATAACTAAAGAAATCAATGGTTTTGACAGGAAGAATGCCTGATTTGCCATCTACTGACAGATTTTAAATACTATTCAGGAAGTGAAGATAAATGTCCCACTTCCACAGATGTTCAAAGAAATAATTTTTCTGTACTCTTATTTGTTCTACCAACCATATGGGGACTTTGAGTTTTTGTAGCATAAATGTTCTCCTGAAAAAAGTAACTTTTTTTGCTTTTAAAATATCAGTGTAGATCCCCACATTTTCCAACTATCAGCAGAAATTTCAACTGACTGTTCTAACATTCTGTGCCATTTGGATGATTAATTCTCTACATTAAGATTGATCTGTGGGTTATATTCACATGTGCTATAGATATTTTTGTTGCATTAACATTTTCTTCTGTCATTCACTTTTTTTTACTTCAAGTAAGTATTGTCAGTCATGGACGATAAAATAGGTACCTCATCTTTTTAGGTACATCCAAGTAGTCAAATGTTTCTATAAGGATCTATGAAATAAAATTGCTTCAGGGACACATGAATATTTGCATAAGGGGGCATTCCCCACTTAATTTTGCCTGTATCTTCTTACCTTATCCACCATACTTGGGCCAATGTACCAACCAAGACTTTATTTTCTCATTTGTGCTTTCGTAGTTAATACATGTATGTCTACCCATAAAAAACATTGCATTATGTTTTTAAATTTTACATTAAGAAAATAGAGAAATAGAAATCCAAGATCATTGAAGAGCTTATTTACCTTTTTAAAACCGTATGACTATTTTTTATAGAATTAAAAATTCTACTTTGAAAATTTGCTTATTATATTTTTTATCATACTGAGAAAAAATATTTGTCCTTATATTTGGCAATATTTGCCCTAAATATATCCAAATTCTTTCATTCATTCATACTTCCTGAGTATAATGATCACAACTAGATTAAAAAGCCAGAAAGAAATAATATCTGGAGCAACTAAGAGATACTTATTTATTAAATTGCAAGATATTTAGTCATAAGCCATCATCTTAAACTGCATCACATAATTATCAATTAAAAATTACAAAAAAAATTGCCCTGGCCAGTTTGGTTCAGCAGTTAGAGCGTCGGCCCGCAGACCAGAGAGACCTGGGTTCAGTTCCCACTAAGGGCACGTACCTCGGTTGCAGTTTGTCCCCAGCCCCGGTTGGGGTCGTGTGGGTGGCAGCCACTCGATGTGTCTCTCTCACATTGATGTTTCTCTCTCTCTCTTCCTCCCTCTCTCCCTTCTGCTCCATCTGAAGATAAATGCAAAAATGTCCTTGGGTGAGTTTACAAAAAAAAAAAGAATTACTATATTACTATATTTTACTCATAATATTCCCCAATTTCTAATTGTTTCATACACTCATCTTCATATTTCTATTGAGAAGAAATAAAGGCTTAGGCAAAATTTTAATTAAAACTATGTCTGTAGTAGATCTTGAGCAAGTCCAGAGAATGTGAAACAAAATTTGACAAAATGAAGATCAGGGTTATATTTTTAGTAAAATGAAAAACTGGAAGCAATTATATAGGTGATTTCGGGTTACTATTTTCTCACAAAATATAGTAAATTAGGCAAAGTTATTTTAACACATACTTGTTTGCTTAAATGTTCTGACCTATTGCCTTAATTATGGCCTACATATAATTTAACACACTTTGTCAACTTTGAACAGGATAATATTTTCTTGAATATTTTATTCCAATAAACGTGACCAAACATTTGCATTGTCTTTTCAAATCACACAAAAATAAAAATAAATGTAAGCGCAGTCAGTGTGGTCTAGTGGTCGAGGGTCGATCCTGCATCAAGAGGTCATGGGTTCGATTCCCGGTCAGGGCACACGCTCAGGTTGTGGCCTGATCCCCAGTGGGGGGTGTGCAGGAAGCGGCCAATCGATGTTCTCTCTCATCGATGTTTCTATCTCCCTCTCCCTTCCTCTCGCTTTAAAAAAAAATCAATAAACAAAAACAAATTAAATAAATGTAAGATTTTAAAGGTTTTCTAGAACATGATCAAATGCGAATTCCATTGACAATACAAATTGGTTTAGTTTGCAATGAGATAGCTTTTATTATTACTTTTTATTCCTGACCCTAGGGTATGTTTTTATTGATTTTAGAGAGAGACGAACACTAGTGTTAGAGAAACATCGCTTCCCATACACGCCCAGGCCGAGGGTCCAGCGCTGGCCAGGTGGCGCAGTTGGTTGTAACATCATCCTTTACACCAAAAGGTTGCAGGTTCGATTCCAGGGCACATACCTAGGTTGCGGGAGAGCTTTTGTTTTATTTATTTATTTTTAAACCTTCAACTGAAGATATACTTTTATCGATTCTAAAGAGAGCGGAAGGGAGAGCGAGAGAAACATCGATGGGTTGCCTCCCTTCCACGCCCGACCGCAGTTCAAATTCACAACCTGGGCATGAGCTCTGACCGGGACTTGAACCCACAGCCTGTGGAGCCAGGGAGGGAGCTACAACCAGCTGAGCCACCTGGCCAGGGCAGCAACAGATGACTTTCATTCATTGGAAGGGGTTAATGCCTAATGATGTTTCTAGTTTTTAATAACTTTTTACCAGCAAACATTCATCGCTGTTTAGCGTCTGCAGAATGATTTCTAAGGCACAGTTTGAGGTCCACACTCCCTGTAAGTGGACACGGTGGCTCCTCCACCACCGTGAGTAGCTGGAGAAACTGAGACCCCGCTTTGCTGAATAACTTGTCGGAGTCACCCATCGGCCAAGCGGCGGAACCGGGACCCAAACTCCACGGTGTTTGCTCCAGAACCTGGGGCTTGTCCACATGGCGGGCAGCCGTAGAAACAAGATCTAATCTAAATGCTTTGGCCTCGAAAATAGAAAGAGTGACTGATTTCTGGAGTCTAAGAAAAATGCGTAGCGGTTCATGGTAAGCCTTACTAAGCTCGTGTCAAAACGCCGCCTGCGTAGTTCTCCATTTTAACACTGATTTTCTTCCGCTGGACAGGACCGTGTTATACGAATGCTGCCCGGGGTATATGCGAATGGAAGGGATGAAAGGGTGCCCAGCAGGTAAAATTTGGACGTTTCCTATAAAATCGGTGCCTCGTGACATTTTATTGCGAAAATGATCGGTGCAGTGTCTTGGGGAAGTTTGTGTGACGTTCAAATGATTGTGACATAATGTTCTTGAAATGGAGTCCGGAGTCCTCACCCCTCTTTCCTGTTGCAGTGATGCCCATTGACCACGTGTACGGCACGCTGGGCATCGTGGGGGCCACCACGACGCAGCGCTACTCCGACATCTCGAAGCTGAGAGAGGAGATCGAGGGGAAGGGATCCTACACCTACTTTGCTCCCAGCAATGAAGCCTGGGACAACTTGGATTCTGTAATGCCCTGCTTCTGTTGACTTACTTATCTTGTTGTTGTTGTCGTTTTACTTTATTGCTTTGTGGACTAGAAAATGCATACGAGTAGTATGTCTTTCTATTACACACAAGTGAAGATCTATAAAAGGACGAGTTAGTGAGGGTAAGGAGCAAATAGCTTTAATATGTCCATAAATGAAATAAATCCCCAGCAATATAGAGAAAAGGCAAACCAACAGTGGACTGAAAAAGCCCTTGTTATTATTCTATTTTACTCCTGTCCTATTTCTTTGTTAGTTGAGAGAAAATATACGTAATTTTAACTAATAGATGTAATGCAAAGGTAAGTGGAAAAGCCTAGTACATTAAAAGTTTATTGTTATACAGACATACTTTATTATTTTAATTATATGTAAATATAGATGTCTGTCCAGAGACTAACAGCCTTAGAAACACATGCGTAAATATTTAAATGACGTGTGTAAACCATGCATTCGGTTTTCAGACATGTCGTGAATAGTCTGATGTACACGCCCCAAATTAAGCCTCAAGTTCCAGATCTGCAAAACTGGTGTAGAAACAGATTCCTACTTTCTACTCGCTGGATTGATCGTTGCTACTGGAGTCAAAACGTATTTGTTACCACTTAGGCAGGTTCCTCTGGCTACGCTCTTGCTACATTAACTGTGTGGTCCATTGCCGGCTTGTAAACTCTCCTCTGGTTGACCGCATCTCGGACCCCCTCACTTCCGGTGACTCCGCAGCCTCCCGCCGTCAGGATGGTGTGGCTGAAGGCTGAGCAGGTCTAAACTGCTTTTATACACACATCTGGGGACATCGGCTACTGCTTTCGTGCAAATAACCACCAGCTCTGTGTTTCTTACACTTGCTCTTTTGGGAATCTTAGGAGACTATTTCTAATCTCCATCTTCATATTTCTCCTTGGATGAACCATCTGCATCTTTGAACAAAAAGGTCTTGACCACATGTGCCTCTGTCTTTCCCTCCGTAAATGGTGGCTTTTCTCGGGCCACCTTCCGGAGTAGGCAGCAGCAGTGACCTCAGTGTCAGATTCAAGGGCGTGCGTCCTCCTTACCTCCGCTCCCTCCAACTCCTGCACACCACTGTTAGTCACTCACACCCCATGTTTCATACTCTTAACGTGTATTGTTTCTTTTATTGTTTAAAAAAATTTTTGTCTTTATTGATTTTAGAGAGAGGGGGAGAGGGAGAGAAATAGAAACATCGATTGGCCGCCTCCTGCGTGCTCCCCACTGGGGATCAGGCCCACAACCTGGGCATGTGCCCTGACCGGGAATCGAACCGGCGACCTCTTGGTGCAGGGTCCACGCTCAACCACTGAGCCACACCGGCCGGGTCACGTTTCATACTCTTAACACCCTCATTCCTGCTCTGTGTTCCCACCACACTCAACTCCCAGAGCCCAGCCTAATTATCACCGTCCAGGGCCAGGAAGTCTTCAGAGGGGCAACACTGTCAGCCTGACGTGCACTCACTCAGGCATGCGCGTGTTCCTGGTCCCACGCAGTTCCCTAAATTTCTTTCCGAACAGTATCTGAGCGACACAGAGCATGTCTGACCCCCGCGGACAGCTTCTGCTTTGCTAACGTTCACCCTGGGTCCGCAGCTGGGCTCCGATCGGCCGCACCTCACGGCGACCTGTTTGCCCCTCCGGGCTCTCTGCACCCCTCGAGGGCTGGACTTCCTCCCTTCACCCCCGAAATGCCTTTCCCTCCTCTGTCCTCTCCACTGCTGGACTTCCTCCCTTCACCCCCGAAATGCCTTTCCCTCCTCTGTCCTCTCCACTGAGGTAGTGTCTGCATGTTGTTGTATCATAAGCACCTTAAATGTAGGGATTGCACCTTCCTGATCACTGCATTTCCCATCACACCGCGTACACGGCGTAATACATGGTTTTGGATAAATAAAAAGGTACAAAATGTCTGAATTCTTAAATTTGTTTATGTAAGTTGTTTATGGATGAACATAAAATCCCTTTTTTTTTCCATTCGAATATTGTGTAGAAATATAATGCTTTTTGTTTAGTTACTCAAAATAATTGAAATACCACAATGAGAAAGTAATGAGAAAAGAAGGCATGTAATTAAAGCGTGATTTCCGCAATGAAATGAACGTCTATGTTTTTCATGTTTTCCTAGGATATCCGCAGAGGTTTGGAGAGCAACGTCAACGTTGAGTTGCTGAACGCCTTGCATAGCCACATGGTTGACAAAAGGATGTTAACCAAGGACTTAAAAAACGGCATGGTTGTTCCTTCGATGTATAACAATCTGGGGCTTTTCATTAACCATTATCCTAACGGGGTAAGTTTCTCTAGCGAGCAGTGTTCTTCTCTAGCGAGCAGTGTTCTTCGCACTCAGAACTTATTAGAGGGCTGACTGAGACTTTGTATGTAAGTTGTGGGTCTGCCTTAGAAATCGCGGATCGCTCCCTCTATAAAAGAAAGGGAAGGATAAAAGCGATAATACGAATGAAAAACTCTTGCGTCTTATGTTTTATGATGTTAAGTGTAACTGTGCTTCAGTTCTCCACTGGCTGTTTCTCTGATTTTTTTTATACTTAGCGATACGTAGACCTTCATTCTCAGCATTTATGTTCAGAATGTCATTTCCTTCCTGTTCGTGTTCCCGGTAGACGTTTAAAATAGGGAGTCAGCTGGCCACGCCGGCGGTCAGTGGACAGTTCTGATCCCCGCGCGGTGATCTCCCCGATCACGACAGGTGGTCACTGTCAACTGTGCCCGGATCATACACGGGAACCAGATCGCGACCAACGGGGTCGTGCACGTCATCGACCGCGTCCTCACGCAGATTGGGACCTCGATTCAAGACTTCATCGAAGCTGAGGACGACCTCTCGTCGTTCAGGGTAAGAGCAAGACGTGACGGCGGGGTCTCGGGTGGCTGAAGTTCCTTCGCTGTCCCTGGCGGACGTGCAGCAAATCTGTTTCTGGAAATGAAACGTTTCCGTTTTGCAGAGCAGAAATCGTCTCATGGGAAAGGGTTTGATGGGGACGACATAAATGACGTGGTTGGTTGGGTGCCTGCGCGTGTGTTCAGGGCCTTGCGAATGTGTCCCCCTTGGTTATTAATTATACTTACTGCTCGCTATGGCTCCCGTCACACAGACCACGGCACAATTGTTTTTGTTTTTTTAATTTTTTAAAATTGATTTTAGAGAGAGAGGAAGGGAGAGGGAGAGAGAGAGAAACATGGATGAGAGAGAACACTGACTGGCCGCCTCCTGCAGGCCCCCCACGGGGGATCAGGCCCACAGCCTGGGCATGGGCCCTGACCGGGAATCGAACCAGTGATCTCCTGGTGCAGGGTCGAGGCTCAGCCCCTGAGCCCACCGGCCAGACGACAGCAGAGTTTGCAACGTGTTGGAGAAGACAGTTGTTGAGCCGGAAAGGACTACACTGTCTTAAGATCTGACAGGAGCGAGCATCTCCAGTTTTCTAAGAGGGGCTCCCCTGTGGGCCCGGCTGTGGCTGCGGTTTCCTTCGGGCGTGGGGTGCGCAGCCCTCTGAGGCCACGTCTGCGTTCCAGGCGGCTGCCATCACCTCCGACATCCTGGAAGCCCTGGGGAGGGACGGCCACTTCACACTCTTTGCTCCCACCAACGAGGCCTTCGAGAAACTCCCGCGCGGTGTCCTGGAGAGGATCATGGGCGACAAAGTGGCTTCCGAAGGTAGGAAAACAGTCCCCTCTCTGGGAAGCGTCCCTTACTCTCCAGGAGGAAATAAAATGAAAGGAGACGGCCCCGCCAATGGTGTCAGCTTTGATAGAGACAAAGCAACTCTTGTGGGGGGTGAACCCTAAAATCCTTAAAAAAAACCGTCTTTGAAAAAATATGCAGAGCAATTAAATAATTAATTTAACAATTAAAGTAATTGGCCCTGGCCAGTTTGGCTCAGCGGTTAGAGCCTGCGGTCCGGAGAGACCCGGGTTCGGTTCCCGCTAAGGGCACGGACCTCGGTTGCAGTTTGTCCCCGGCCCTGGTTGGGTTGTGCAGGTGGCAGCCACTCGATGTGTCTCTCTCACATCAATATTTCTCTGTCTCTCTTCCCCCTCTCCTCCTGCTGCTCTATCTGAAGAAAAATGCAAAATAATAATAATAATGTTCTTTGGTGAGGATAAAAAATAAATAGTTAAAAAAAAATTCTACAGATCACATTTTTGTGTTGCTTTCAAGTAAATAAATAGCAGCGTTGAAAAAGGATTGGCAAGTATTGAAAATAAATACTAGCCCATCACATTTCAGTACGGTATGCCTATTACGAAATGTTCTTCCTTCTACATTTATTTCAGAAGGTATCATTGAGACACTCACGTGGTTCCCCCGGGCCAACGCATGTCGATGCACAAAATGTGGCTCTGTCCAGTCTCCTTGTCTATTTTCAAATAGGCTTCACCTTGAGACTAGCACCTTTCACTTGGTTTATTCCAAAATAAATTTAACAGGTTTAAGATGAGTCGTTTCGAAGGTGCCGTAGCGATAGAATGCAGTTGAAGCCGAGATCCCTGGAGGTGTCCGTCAAGAATCGTCTTTACTTCCGCTACTTCCCAGATGTTGTCTATAGAGGATCCCTTTCCTGTCTCCAGGCTCCGTTCACTGTTTACAAACTACCGCTGTTCTGATCCTAGAGGCTAATGCAAGAGGCTGCTCGGGTGTTTGGGGACAAATATCAGTGAACAAATAACGTTACAGGATTTCTGAACGGAACTATTTTTTTTTTTTTTCGGCTTTCATGTCAGAAATTGCTGTCTTAGGATAGTGGGAACTTGATCTAACACACTTTGTTTTTACTCCACAAACGATTTCATGCCACTGGTCTCTTCGTACTTCCCGCTGAAGTGAGTTTTGTCCGTTGTAGAGTTGAAGAAAAAAACACTCCAAGAACTTAGACATATTTTTAAAGCCTTTGGTTCATCCGTGGACAAGATCTATGTATTGTATGTCTCAGGAATACTCAGTTTTTCAGGAATACTCAGTGTCTCAGGAATACTCAGTGTCTCGGGAATACTTAGTGTCTCAGGAATACTTAGTGTCTCAGGAATACTCAGTGTCTCGGGAATACTCAGTGTCTCGGGAATACTTAGTGTCTTGGGAATACTTAGTGTCTCAGGAATACTTAGTGTCTCAGAAATACTCAGTGTCTCGGGAATACTTAGTGTCTCAGAAATACTCAGTGTCTCGGGAATACTTAGTGTCTCGGGAATACTCAGTGTCTCAGGAATACTCAGTGTCTCAGGAATACTCAGTGTCTCGGGAATACTCAGTGTCTCAGAAATACTCAGTGTCTTGGGAATACTCAGTGTCTCGGGAATACTTAGTGTCTCAGAAATACTCAGTGTCTTGGGAATACTCAGTGTCTCGGAAATACTCAGTGTCTCGGGAATACTTAGTGTCTCAGAAATACTCAGTGTCTCGGGAATACTTAGTGTCTTGGGAATACTTAGTGTCTCAGAAATACTCAGTGTCTCGGGAATACTTAGTGTCTCAGAAATACTCAGTGTCTCGGGAATACTTAGTGTCTTGGGAATACTTAGTGTCTCAGGAATACTTAGTGTCTCAGAAATACTTAATGTCTCGGGAATACTTAGTCTCAGGAATACTCAGTGTCTCGGGAATACTTAGTGTCTTGGGAATACTTAATGTCTCGGGAATACTTAGTCTCAGGAATACTCAGTGTCTCGGGAATACTTAGTGTCTCGGGAATACTTAGTGTCTTGGGAATACTTAGTGTCTCAGGAATACTTAGTGTCTCAGGAATACTTAGTGTCTCAGGAATACTCAGTGTCTCGGGAATACTCAGTGTCTCGGGAATACTTAGTGTCTCGGGAATACTTAGTGTCTCAGAAATACTTAATGTCTCGGGAATACTCAGTGTCTCGGGAATACTCAGTGTCTCGGGAATACTCAGTGTCTCGGGAATACTTAGTGTCTCGGGAATACATAGTGTCTCAGAAATACTCAGTGTCTCGGGAATACTCAGTGTCTCGGGAATACTTAGTGTCTCGGGAATACTTAGTGTCTCAGGAATACTTAGTGTCTCAGAAATACTTAATGTCTCGGGAATACTTAGTCTCAGGAATACTCAGTGTCTCGGAAATACTCAGTGTCTCGGGAATACTTAGTGTCTCGGGAATACTTAGTGTCTTGGGAATACTTAGTGTCTCAGGAATACTCAGTGTCTCAGGAATACTCAGTGTCTCGGGAATACTCAGTGTCTTGGGAATACTTAGTGTCTCAGGAATACTCAGTGTCTCGGGAATACTTAGTGTCTCAGAAATACTTAGTGTCTCGGGAATACTCAGTGTCTCAGAAATACTTAGTGTCTCGGGAATACTTAGTGTCTCGGGAATACTCAGTGTCTCGGGAATACTTAGTGTCTCAGAAATACTTAGTGTCTCGGGAATACTCAGTGTCTCAGGAATACTCAGTTTCTCGGGAATACTTAGTGTCTCAGGAATACTCAGTGTCTCGGGAATACTTAGTGTCTCGGGAATACTCAGTGTCTCGGGAATACTTAGTGTCTCAGGAATACTCAGTGTCTCGGGAATACTTAGTGTCTCGGGAATACTCAGTGTCTCGGGAATACTTAGCGTCACAGTGAAACATGACTTTGAAGGGTCGCGTTCTGTCTCCTTCCACATGGACACTTTCCTCTCTGCCCCCAGCGCTCATGAAGTACCACATTCTAAACACCCTCCAGTGCTCTGAGGCCATCATGGGGGGCGCCGTCTTCGAGACCCTGGAAGGAAACACCGTGGAGATCGGTTGTGACGGGGACAGTATCACCGTCAACGGGATCAAGATGGTGAACAAAAAAGACATCGTGACGAATAACGGCGTCATCCATCTGATCGACCAGGTCCTGATTCCTGATTCCGGTGAGTAGGCGTGTCAGGGGCTCCTGCTTTGTCCTGATGGTCAGGGAGGGGCCCGGGGGGTGAGTCCGTGGAAGAGGAGCGTCCAGTGTGGGCAACGGCAGGTGGAACACGCAGAACCGTGGGACTCCGGGGCGCTGAAACGTGGTCCTGTAGCATTTCCAATACCCAACATTCGTACGGGGCCTCACAGGGTCCGAGGTCTCTTAAAAGCACAGGAAAGACACAGGGAATGGCCACCTCTGAATGAATAAAGCCATGGCCCTCACAGCTGTAGGATCCACAGGTGAGCAGAATAGAACGAGAGAAAATGGAAAGTGAGAAGCCAGAGAGACATTTCCCTTCTGACTTGTTCTGACCGTGTTCGTGCCCAAAAAAGGCGGCTGGGAGCCCTCCCGGGAAGGGCCTGTCCACGGCCTGGCACTGGGGACGGTGATGGTTTGTTTTGCAGCCAAACAAGTCATTGAGCTGGCGGGGAGTCAGCAAACCACGTTCACAGACCTCATCGCCCAGCTGGGCCTGGCATCGACGCTGAGGCCGGACGGGGAGTACACGTTGCTGGCTCCTGTGAATAACGCGTTTTCTGGTATGTGCCCCTGCACCGTGCCCTCCGCTCGGCAGCCCCAGCCCCCACGCCCTCCTTCTCCGTGGTCGTCTGCAGTCAGAGATGACGCCTATTGCCCAGGTGTCGCTTCGTTTTCGGGACGGGCAGCCCCGCCTAGCCCCTATCACAGTGTCCTTCGTTGCAAACATTGTATCATAACAGGTCACAGCCTCAAGGGAGAGAAAGTTTGTGCCAAGGGTATTCTAGGAACGCAACCATGTGACCAGCACACACACTGCATCTCGAGAAAAATAAATTTGATTTTCCGATTTAATGCCCACATCCTATTTAGGAGTGAACAGGTACATTTCGCATCTCAGAATATGACAGTAGCATGTTCAATGATCAATAAAGGAGAGGAAGAGAAGATTACACACGTCTGTGTTATGATGTAAACCATTACTGTAGGCATTTTACCTAGTAGCTGCTATGCAGTGACAGTGTTTAATGTGACCTGCCACCTTCCTCCAGAAAAGTGGTTTTATAAAGACATATTTAAATTGTTAGGCATCATCGAATGATGATAAAAACAAATGAGTGCCACCTGATTTGCCGCTTTTCCCAGTACAAAACTGAGACATAGAAATTATTCGTAAAAAATTCAAGTTCCTATAAATGCTTTTCTTTGTAATACTGATATGTCCATACGCATTAATACCTGCCTTTAAGAGGTCGTCTGCTCTGATTTTGCACTCAGTAATAAAGGTACATTTAGAAACGACTCACCATCCGTCTTTCATGTGACTGATTGATATCAAATTTGCAGAAACATTCTCGGCCAGCATTAGAGTTTAACCCTTGCCAGTGACCACGTGCAACTCCGTATCCCTCACAGAAATGAAACCCATTGATCTGTCGACTTTGAATCACACTGTAGTCACCTGATGAAACAGCTCATGCAGATTCTAGTGGTGCATAAAATTCCTGGCCTTGAGCATTTAATTGAGCCTTACATCATAGTAATTCCATATATCGTATGCGAGTGGATCCATAATATCAATAATAAGAATTACCCGTTTTCGTGATTTTTCTCTTAGCAGGAGAAAGTTTAATGCTTTCTATATAAATTATCCTCTTTTTTTTTTTTCCTTTTAAAATTGGCTTACAGATGATACTCTGAGCATGGATCAGCGCCTTCTGAAGTTAATTCTGCAGAACCACATACTGAAAGTAAAGGTTGGCCTCAATGAGCTTTACAACGGACAAAAGCTCGAGACTCTTGGAGGCAAACACCTCAGAGTCTTCGTGTATCGCACAGTAAGTGAAGAAAACCATGTAACCCTTTACTGCCCCACCCCCATTCCCACCCTACAGGTGTCTAAGAGTCTTTGTTTCTCTCGTTTGTTCATGTCTTGCTTTCGGTTTTATATCTTGCATATGAGTGAGATCCTAGGGTTCTTGACTTCCTCTGTCTGACTCCTCGTGGTTGCGTAATTCCGCTGTGTACATGGTCCACCTCACCGTTATCCGGTCGGAGGACTCTGGGGTTTCCATGTCTTGGCCCTTGTGAATAACGCTGCAGTGAACACAGGGGTGCATGTGTCTTTGCAAATAAATGTTTTCAGAGTTTTGGTTAGATACCCAGAAGAGGGGTTGCTGGGTCATATGATAACGCTATCTTAATTTTTTGAGTTTTTGATAACAGCCATTCTGACTGGTCCGAGGTGGCATCTCTTTGTGGTTTTGACTTGCATGTACCTGGTGACTAGTGATGTTGAGCATCTTTTCATGTGTCTGTTGGCATCTGCTCACGGTTTATAGGACCTGGTACAGTTGCAGGACACTTTGTATGGAGAACCAAATATGTAGGATGATCTTTTACTGTAAGATCACAGTTCGTTGACTGACTCTCTCTCGAATGACTTTCAAGATAAACTTCCGTAGTCACAGAAACATTTTTAAATTCTTCTTATAAATATGTTTTTATTGATTTCTCAGACAGAGGGAGAGGGAGGGGGAGAGAGAAACATTGATGGGGGGGAGAAGCATCAGTCGGTTGCCCCCTGTTGGCACCCCAGCTGGGGACCGGAGCCGCAACCCTGGCATGAGCCCTGACTGGGACCATGATCAACCAACGGAGCCACACCAGCCAGGGAAGAAATATTTTTGAATTATATAAAATGGTTCTAATGTACTTTATCGAGTATTTAGAAAATATTGCTTATCAGAGCCACAGGGCAACTAGAATGCTGTTGGGTTTCTGCTTGGGGAGCACCTGCACCTACAGCTGAAATATGTCACAGACAGTCAAGTGTTCCCCGGAACTGAATGGGACCCAGCGTCTGGTCATTGTCATTCCACAAGTCCCACCAAACATCTTCAAGGGTGCAGGGAACAGGCTCCACCCCCAATTATACATACATACATATATATACTATATATATAAAACCTCGATTTGTTTAAAAATACTATAACTGAATCCATGGTTTCATTTATAATTGATGGGATTTTACAGTCAAGAACATAGAGAAACTATTTTTGAAGATCACAACAGGCACTGATGTCAGGAAACCTTCCGGTTAATGAAGGTCCCGAGAGCTCACGTTTCCGCAGACGGGTGGAGAGATGGTGGGAACACGAAGAAGAGTGGTAGGGAACGTGGGAATGGGGTTCCACGGAACCTGTGTCATTCACAAAACCACACCTAGGGCACCTTGGCTGCAGCAGTCAACCTCGTTGAATAACGAGTGTGATGTCAGATTGTGGGAGGTATTGAATTCTTTTTTTTCTTTATTGATTTTTTTTTTTTAGGGTGAGAGAGAGATAGAAACATAGATGAGAGAGAACATCGATTCTGCCTCCTGCACGCCCCCCACTGGGGATCAGGCCCACAACCTGGGCAGGTGCCCTGACCGGGGATCAAACCAGCGACCTCCTGGTGCAGGGTCAACGCTCAGCCACTGAGCACACCGGTTGGGTAGATTGCACGAGGTGCTAACGCAGAGGAGAGAAGCTGCTTCCTCCGGCCGCCGAGGTCCTCTTAGAACTAACTGTCCATCTACAACTCTAGTTACGCAGTTATTTCCACGGAAGACATTTCAAGTAAGGACATGGAGCCTGTCTCTCCCTCCCTCCCCCAGGCTGTCTGCATCGAAAACTCCTGCATGGTGAGAGGCAGTAAGCAGGGGAGAAACGGCGCCATCCACATATTCCGGGAGATCATCAAACCGGCGGAGAAATCTCTCCACGAGAAGTTAAAGCAAGAGAAGCGCTTCAGGTAAGAACGACAGCGGCGGGCAGGTCTTGGCTTCACGGAGAGTCTTCCAAAAGGCATTTCATGTTCATATCGCTGCCCGTGCATTTGGAGTAAGAAGTCTGCGGAAATGCTGCTGGAGCAAAGTGTATTATCAACATGATTTTGCTTCCCGATGCACCAGACTATAATTCAGTGAGTGGGGAGAAGAAAAAAAAAAAGATAAACTGAACTACTCTCTTTAATTTTTTTTATAATTAAAATTTCAAATGATAATATGTAATAGCCAAGGCTATTTGGTAGAATAGTAAATGAAAAAAAACAAAAACAAAGCATGCTTCTTATTTGCGACAAAATTTGCCTTTCTCAAGTGTTATAAGACAAACACAGAGATTAGGAAATTTAAAAATCTATGTGCATTTCAAGCATTTTATCACGATAAAACTTTCTTAACGGGTAAATTGCGTTTGAAACATATGGAGGCAAATGATTTTCTCATGCTTTCTGCAATGCACGGCTTATAATCTAGTCCATGCATCGGGGGTGAGCACCCCATACACAATCTACGGGTAACACAATAAACATGTCTTTTCTGTTTAGCATCTTCCTCAGCCTTCTGGAAGCGGCGGACTTGAAGGAGCTCCTGGCACAGCCTGGGGACTGGACGCTATTTGTTCCCACCAACGATGCCTTTAAGGGAATGACGGATGAAGAAAAGGAAATTCTGATTCGTGAGTCGCAGTGAACACAGGCTATTTGCCCCTTGGCGTCAGGGTCTCGTTTCTTCCTCAAGGGTTTCTGCCCGAACATCGGTCTCAAAAATTCTCCTTTTCCTCTTTTCTGGTTCAGTCTTGTCTAGCCTCAGTTTCCTTTACTGCCACTTAAGATATGTGGAGGGTCACGAATTAATGTCCTTAATTCACTGGCTGCTGTCATGCTGTTGAGCTAGGTGTTCACGGGTCACTGAGAGAGATGACGTGAGACGTCACAACGAAGAAACATAAAGACACATCTTTTTCTCTTCAGCCCTCGTCGTATCAGAAGGCCCAAACAAGGTGACTTATTCTGAAATAAATATGTATGTCCCCTCTAGGCAACAAAAATGCTCTCCAGAACATCATCCTTTACCACCTGACACCAGGCGTCTTCATCGGGAAGGGCTTCGAGCCCGGCGTCACGAACATCCTGAAGACCACGCAAGGAAGCAAAATCTATCTGAAGGGAGTAAGTCCTCGCCGTCGTTTACCTGCTGTGACGTTTGCTCCTTCCCAGCGGCCTCGCTGACAGATCCCTTGTTTTCTCAGGTGAATGACACGCTCCTGGTAAACGAACTGAAATCCAAAGAGTCTGACATCATGACCACGAATGGCGTCATTCACGTCGTAGACAAACTTCTCTACCCAGCAGGTGGGGGGCCACTGACTTCATGAATACACGAAACGTTTTAATCGAAGCCTAGATTTTTATGTCCACATTCTTGCCAACCTTTGTTTAATATTCCTTTTCATAGACACGCCTATTGGAAGTGATCAGCTGCTGGAAATACTGAATAAACTGGTCAAATATATCCAAATTAAGGTACAGAATATTATTGGATTTATTTCTAATGTGTTGAATACAAGAGACTGCACAGGTATATGCATCAGTGAATAGACAGACACTAGCTTTGGGTTGGTCTTTGTTGATTATGTCCACCTATAAAGAAATGACATAAATTCTTTATGCTTTTATTCAACAAACATCTATTAAAAGCTACTTATGGCCAAGCAGTGTATTAAGTATTATGTGAAATATTAAGTTGAGTCAGATATGGTTTTTTATTTTAAAAGTTTATATATAGTCCAGTTGGGCAGATAAGACATGGAAGTAAAAAACTATAATTTTTCTAACCTCAAATGTCTTTGTTACTGAATATAAGAAAAAGATAAAGTATCAACTTGTCAATAATCACAATAGTTGAAGGCAAAAGAATATTTTGCTTCTTTATTATTATAGAGCCAAAGTGTCAGGAGATATATGACATATTACTTTATAAATCTATTTAGCTTTGGGTTAACTGTTCTATAATTTCCTAGACTGAGTAACAAATCCAATCATGTTTATGCCCCCGCCTCATCACAGGACATTGGAAGGTGATTCGTATGAAAACTTTATTTCTGTTAAGTGTAACAATAGCTTCACTTTGTTTAGTAAGAATTAAAGTGGTGGCAGGATTTTATTAATACAGCCAGCCTGGGTTTCCTGTGACTAAGTACACATTTCATGTGAGGACATTTCATGGGACTGATCAGACACATTTCTTTTCAGTTCGTCCGTGGTAGCACCTTCAAAGAAATCCCGATGACTGTCTACAGTAAGTATCTAATTGATCATCGTCATATATAAGTGGCAACATTTAAAACATAAAGATAGGATGTGTGTGTGTGATAGTGTGTGTGTGTTTACAGGGACTATTGATCATCTGGTATTTAGAATTCCAAACAAAGGCAGATTTAATCCCAATAGAACAGGGGTTGAGGTCACAATGAGACCTCTCAGCCACAGCCATACCCTTAATCTCCAAGAAACCACATCCCCACTCACCCCAAAAGATCTAAGAATAGCAGTAAAGTAGAAGAGCTAGCATGGCAAAGAAGCAGAAAAAAAATATACACAACGATACAGGGGAAGAGAGAGGTACAAGGCATTCAGAGCCTCCCGGAGATGCAGGCGTGGACACCAAGCGCCCTGCAGACGGATTTGCCGCCCGTCCACCGCCAAGCCCTCCACCACCTAAAGCAGGGGGCACACAGTGCGCCAAGAACCCTCATGTTTACGATTTGGTGGTTTAGAAACTCTCCACCCAAAACTTTCAAAGAAACAAAGATGCTGCCAGGTGATAGATGCAAAGTTTCCAGACCCCAGGTTCTTTTTTCCTCGTCTCTACCAGATCATCAAAATCCAACCTCTGCGATTTGAGTGTGTGTGTGTGTCTGGGGGGGGGGGGTGGGGGGGGTATCCTCATAAACACAGTGTGTGGTGTTACTTTTCCGACGTGACCTTCCTTCCTCTGCATTCGTTCTGTCTTTCCTGTGGCTTCCAAAGCCGGTCTTTTTATTTTGTTTTGACTCCACCATTAAACACTCAAAAATGTGACCGCTGTAGCTCTTAGGGAAGTATTACTTCCATTCCCACAACGACCGCGACTAGAACGGTGTTCTGTTTTACGCCATGAGCACCCGTCATTTAGTTAAGGAAAATGTCCTCAAGATTTACACTAGATGTGGAGGGAGGTGAGGACGGTCAGGAGCACAATGAAATGACAGCCGTCCTCCCCGATTGCAATTACGTAGGGACAGCACGTGCAGACCCAGTAGCGGGCCAGCTCGGCGCCCTTTGAAAGGCTCAGTTGGAAGGGTTCTGATTCAACGTGTATACATTTCAGAATCGTTTTAAGATATGTTTCATAAGAAATTAAAGAATCCTATGGGCTATATTCACCAGAAATGTCATGTCCTCTTTCTCCACTAAAGATCCCTATCCTCACCGAGTGCCCTTTGCTTTCCTACTTTGTCCACAATAAGTTCGACAGTGTCCACAGATGTCGACGCAAGACGTTGCTCACAATGAGCTAGTGTCTGTGATTCCTTCATTCTCCTCTACTGACAATGTCTTGGAAAGGTTTCTCGACGGCAGGACCAACTGTGAAATCAATAACGGAATCCACAGATGTGGTATATTTTAGAGCGTTATCCTTTGAGATCTCAAGATAGAAAGTCTGATAAGTCTGAAACATGGTCCCAGGTAGGGCTTAGAACCCATCTTAACTCACAAATGGATACAGTTAAACGCCTCAGAAGCCTGAGGTAAGAATGTTACAGTAACATCGACTGTGACCCAATCGGCTGTGACCACACAGGTGGCGCAAGTGCAACATTGTATCTGAGGAGACATCTTTCAAGGATTCCAGGAGCAGGAACAAGAATCCAGTAACCGCCCTGGCCCATTCGGCTCAGCGGTTAGAGCATCGACCTGCGGTCCTGAGAGGCCCGGGTTCGGTTCCCGCTAAGGGCATGTGCCTCGGTTGCAGTTTGTCCCCGGCCCTGGTTGGTCGTGCGGGTGGCAGCCACTCGATGTGTCCCTTTCACGTCGATGTTTCTCTCTCTCTGTTCCTCTCTCTCCCTCCCACTCTACCTGAACAAAAAAGGAAAAATGTCCTCGGGTGAGGATAAAAAAAAAAAAGAATCCAGTAACTGCTTTACGTCCCCGAGGCCCATTTTTCGTCCATCTGTGCAACCAAAAGCCAACCAACTAGTTGGCTGCTCTCTTAAGTAAATTTAGCACATTATTATTATCTCAGTTGGGTGGATGACATACATTCAAAATCCACACCTTTACTTTTTTAAAAAGATGACGATGATCATGACCTGGTGCCTGTAACGTAAATATCGCCCGTACTGTAATCTTTCCTGCATGGGGCTCAGACCTCGCTGGCTGAGATTTATTTTTACTTTTAAGTACACTGCACTGTTTTTTCATATTTTCCTCTCTGTATCACTGTTACAAAATGCACAAGAAATACTTGGAGTCTTTGTTCAATGGTGTTTTTCTCATTGAGAAAGAATTCAACAGGGCCATTTGAGATATTATGAGTGGCATGAAATTAATCATGTTTATTTGTCTTCTGTTGCTATGCAGCCAAAATTGTCAAGAAGTACAGAGGAAGCTAAAGAGCGTTAGTGGCACAAAACTGTAGATTTCTAGATAGAATTCCTCTCTTAGCGAGTCTATATTTCCACTGGAACATGTCCAAGTCCCTGGACTTCAGCATCTGGCCACGAGAAGATACTACTAAATAATGTATCATGAATAGCTCCTGTATCTACTGCCTGAACGTATTCCCGCATCCGCTACTCCAGTACCCAGCAAAAAGCAAAACCAAAAAAAAAAAAAAGCAATTTTGTTCAGGTTGCTTTCACGTAAACATCATTTATGTTCCACTTTCTATACTTGCAGCAACTAAAATTATAACCAAAGTTGTAGAACCAAAAATTAAGGTGATTGAAGGCAGCCTTCAGCCTATTATCAAAACCGAAGGTAAAAATCAACGTGGTTCCTTCTGTTGGGGAAAAAAAAAAATCTCGTATAATGGTCTGATTTCTATGAATGTATCTGCATTCTTTTAGACACTAACATGCTAAACGTTTCTATACCGATGGCATGCTGACGTTATTGGAGAAAACAGAATGCAAGTTATTTCCCGGGGTGGGGGTGCAGTCCTAACCCCTTCAGTACATTTGCTTGTCCTGTCCTGAGAAAGCAGTCATTTCGAATGAACCTGATTGGCTACAGCATCAGCACGGGGACACAGACACTCACTAAACAAAGAAACCCTGAGCATTTTTACTGCCGTTAGATCCCTGCAGAGAAAATACCCTTTCTGTAGCTCTGTTTGCCATCTCCCCAGATGAATCTCTTTTATGCCGTTACAAAAAACTCTTCCAAAAAGTGCAGGCATTTTCCATCCAACAGCGTAGGGGAGCAAAGAAGATTAGATGATAGATAGAGAGATAGAGAGATAGATGATAGATAGATGATAGATAGATAGATAGATAGATAGATAGATAGATAGATAGATAGATAGATGATAGATAGATAGATAGATGATAGATATAGATGATAGATAGATGATAGATAGATAGATAGATAGATAGATAGATAGATAGATAGATGATAGATAGATAGATAGATAGATAGAAAGAAAAGATCTCTCCTGATATTTCAAGCTAGAACATTAAACACTCACTTTCTCTCTCACCCTTGTATGTTAATCAGCTTCAACATCTTGGACACCACCTTTGTTTTATGTATTTTAATTATTACTAAGTCAGATCTCAGTACATTTTTGTTTCTGTGTCTAAATATCTTAATGATCTCAATGTAGTGACTTGACCAATACGTCTGTTGGCAGCTATTTGTAACTGTCTTTCTCTAAAATGCTACTGATACCCCCTTCCCACCGTTCACACTTTTGCAGATTTATTACTGCATAAATTAGATGCCAAAACACGATTTTGAGATGTTTCTTGTTTTAAAAGGGATACTTAACTAGATTTCAGAATTAAGAATAAATCAACTGAAATTCAGTTCAGCACATACTTATTGAGCAGTTCCTGGGTTGGATACTCTCCTAGATGCTGGAAGTAAATATGAAAAATATATTTTTTTTTTATGGAAACTTGCCTTCACCTAGCTTAATTATAAAGCATATTTCTCAAATATCAGCTTAGGTTCCTTTAAAGAAATGTCAGTTCTGATCATTTATTAACTCACTTTCTATGCTGAAACACCTGAAGTGTACTTTCCTTTTGAAGTGTCTACACCTTAAAAACCTGCTTAGGTTTTGATACTCAATATCCCTTAGCCCCATAGATCACATATCACGGTGTGACACACTTATTGTTCAAAAGAATTACACTTTTGTCTTCGTTATTTTAAATTGTTCTAGACTATTTAAGTCTGGGCAACTGATCATTTGGGACAATCAAAAATCCTCTCAAGGAGAAGCAAAGAAGTCGCAGAATGAGCTAAATGTACTGAACTTTATTATCCTTTGCGTCTATGGAATAGTCTTGATTAACGAATGTCGTAACCCGCTTTCTAACATTCAAAATGATTTTCCGTGGGAGCAAAATCATTTTGCAAGGCCGATGCCACGTGTTTAGCTTTTGCTTTTGGGGGACTGTGTATTACTTACGAAGTGTTTGCGTCATTCGCTGATAGAAGGTAAGTGCTCAAATTCATTTCCCCGTAAACCTGAGATGCAGTATCTGAAAAGTAGGCATGCATTTGAGATGTTTTAATGTCCAGTCTTATGCTTATTAGATTAAAAAGTGTAAGATGCTGAGTAATTAAAATTGGATTTTGTTTTTAACGAGGAAGGAGTAATAGACAATCTCAGTGTGGTCGAGTAAGACCCTAAGCATCAGAGCACGTCAAATCCGTGTATTCTGTATGATTCACGAAGCGTAGCCACAAATATTTCGTGCGATCATACTCAACGACCGCGAGTGAATGGATGCATTTACACATCCATTTAAATGCTAATGCAGGTGAAAGTAATTTTAACGGAACACCAATAGACTGAGTCCCATTTTTCTCCTGACTACGGCCTACTTGGAGAAAAGGGGAAATGTTGAAAACTGAGTTTGCAAAGCCTGAAACCACTGTCATGTCTGAGTAGCAGCCAACGCTGAAAGACATGTCCTGCTCGAGCGAAGTTGAAGGACTACGTTAACACGATCATTTGTCTCTAAACACTGTCTCAGGACCCACAATAACAGAGGTGAAAATTGAAGGGGAGCCTGAATTCAGACTGATTAAAGGAGGTGAAACAGTAACCCAAGTAATCCATGGAGGTGTGTTGTGTATGTTTTCTAGTGCCTGGTTGGGGCTCCTGAGATTATTTTAACAATAGTGTTGGTTTAAATATACTGAAGATCTGATTTTTTGTGGTTGTTGTTGTTTTGGGGGGCTTTTGTTTTACGTGAATCATGGGAATACTTGTCTCAGTTATGGGTTCTTTGTAGCCTTTCAAACAAAATATAGTTTACCTTTAATACATCTGGTTGGAATTCATTTAACCATTAAGTCAGCAGGGTCAACACACTGCTATTACCTCTCGGTGTGCAGTGACGATTATGAAGTATAATGGTTTCAATAATGTCAATAAAAGGACACATTGGACTTAGAAGAAAAACGGCCACGGTCCTAGACTGACGAGTGAGCCGTTAGGGTGACCACAGGGCTCTCCTCCTGGTAGTGCAGACCCCGCCGGATCCTCCCCGCCCACCTCAGGAAGCAAACAGCCTGGAGACTTGGCCACGGGGTCTTTGCCCACGATCAGGACACACTTAGGTCTTTGAACCTCTGTTGATACAAATTTATTGGAGATGTGTCCCCACAATGATTGCAGGGAACCTCGTTCTTGAACTTCAATTTGTTCCAGAACAGTGTTCGAGAAGGGACGTGTTTGAAAACCGAGTCATTTATTTAGAGATCATGTAAGTGAACTTAGTCTGTCCCAGACCCCACGAGTCCCTGGATTAACCTTCCGTACACACGGCACCTGTTTAAAGGGCAGTTCAATCTGTAAACGAACCGTCTCTTCTTGAACTGATCAAACCAGCCCTACTGGGCTCGATTCACGCGGCCCACCCCAGGGCTGTTTCTTGGGGGGTCAGGAAAAACTTTCCCACGTCGCTGCCTCTGAGATGCTGTCACCGGCCAATGGCTCTCCCTCTGTCCAAACCAACATCGGTTCCCCCACCTCTTCCGTGGCCACGAGCCTTGTCCGTGAGCCGTCCCACCCCAGCCGCCTCGGCGCTGTCACACTGGGCTCGCACAGGAACACGCCCCGCACAACCTCCCGGAGGTTAAGTGTGAACACCTGTGTCCCCTCCTGGTTGAGGCCTGGGAGGCGCTCTTTGCCCAGCGCGGGTATCGGCCGGGAAGGGTGGGGAGCTGACGAACTGAAGTTTCGTTCCATAACCGAGACGTGTTTCCTTCACCAGCTTGGTCGAGAACCGGAGCGTTGAGAAGGGGGAGGGAGAACTGATGTGTGATGAGAGAGTTGAATTCTAAATGGCCTTGTTTGGAGAGATGCGTTCACTCAGTGAAATGTTTCGTGTGGGGCACTTTACGCACCATCAGGTGATAAATCAAACACATTTTTCCCCCAATTTTAGAGCCAATTATTAAAAAATACACCAAAATTATTGATGGACTGCCTGTGGAAATAACTGAGAAAGAGACAAGGGAAGAAAGAATCATTACAGGTAACCTTCGATTTGCTGGATTACAAAGGTCACACTGCAGTTAACCCGAAAATAGATCTATAAGAATGACAGAAGAGGGGACATCTGTAATACTGTCAACAACAAAGTTAAAGGAAAAAAGAATTATTAGAGAAACTAAGTCATTTTTATGGTGGTTACTGAAGTCACTTTCATTATTTTATTGGCAGGTGCACTATTATTCTAAATATTTAATCTATGTTTTCACCGAATTAGAAATTTGTGGACAAATCCATATGCCTTTTTATTAGGTATATCATACACATTATATAATATATGATTGTATCCTGGAACCAAAACCATTCTCTCGTTTGGTTTTCCATGAGTCTTAAGGTCTACACATTTACTTACAAGAATAGATGCAAGTTTGTGTAAAGCAATTAATCAATAATTTTGGTAAATCTCTGTATCAGTCTCTCACCGATAAATTAGCCTAAAATTCTGAATACAGCTATTCTGTAAGTATTTGCTTAAATGAGCGATTAGCAACTGTAGACCATGCTGCCTACTTGTATAATACAGTTTTACTGGAATACAGAATGTCCACTCATTACCATAATGCCTGTCGCTGTTTTTACCTACAGTTGCAAAGCCGAGTCGTTGCAGCACAGGTCATATTACCTGCATGTCCGAAACGCTTACTCTCCGGCCCTTTACGGAGCAAGTTCACCTACTCCTGTTTCAGACCTTTTTTTGTTGTTTTTTCTTTAGGCCCCGAAATAAAATATACTAAAATTACAACTGCTGGTGGCGACACAGAAGAAACTCTGAAGAAACTGTTGCAAGAAGGTGAGCATTCTAAAAAAAAATAAGTCTGCCTTAACCTCAGCCTCTCTGTATTAAAGTCTGAATAATCTCTGAAGCTTCACGTATGTTTCTGCTCACGTCATTTCTTGGTTGAAGTCCCATACCAACATACGGGAAAGTCCAAACATATAGAAGGGCATGTGTACAACAGCCATTTGATTGTTACATTATCTATTTGTTATATGTTGTTAACAGACGTATAAGAAAATAGGTTTATTGAAAAGCAGCACTAAAATCAGATCTGAGGCGGGACCGAGTGTTGGTTTGGAGTTCACTGTTGGCCAGATGTCGTGATATATCCCGAGTCTCCTGTCTTTGTTACGTAAACCAATTTCTGTTATAAACATTATGCTCTCAGAGGTCACCAAAGTCACCAAACTCATTGAAGGTGGTGATGGTCATTTATTCGAAGACGAAGACATTAAAAGACTGCTTCAGGGAGGTTAGTAAAAAAGAAACAACTAACCCGTTAACAGGTCTGGTGACTGAGTTCAACTTTTTAAAGACTGAGAATTCAAGATTTTTCTCCTAATGACGGCATCTAAAGATTGACTTGTTCAATGGTAGTTTAATTGATATTTATAAAGAGATGATTACTAGTTTAAGCAGTCTTTAAAAAGTGTGGTATACATTTTGGGGAGCACTGAATATTTTTTTTGTCTTGATGCACACAATTATAAAGGTATTTTAAGTATGTGAAAAGGGGAACTTTTAAAATTGGCAGTTATTTGAACAAACCCAAATTGGTATATCTTTTGTATTTTAAAAAAAATGTATTCATTGCTCTCACAACAATAATACAAAGCATGTCTATGGCATCGTTAAGCTCATAGATCTAGAAACAATAACAGTGCCTTTAGTAGTTTTCTAAAACTAATTCTTGAGAATGGGTATCTGTTTCTTCTAACAGTCTGGGTGATGATCTATGCCTGGAAATGTAGATTACTTTGCATATGAAATTAATATTAATCTTTAAAGTATGAAATGTTCTCTGTCTTTGGCATTGAAAGGACCTACTTTTCAAGGCAAAAGAAAAAAAAAACATTTAAAGTCTCATGCAAACTCTAAGCAGTAATTATTTGAAGAAACAAAATGTTACACATACAATTTGGATAATTTTTGTTTGAATACACAGATTGGCAATTTGTTTCACTAAGGACAAAATGTTGACCAATTGTTTTAGACAAACCAGTATTTAAATTGTGTAGAAAAATCAAATAGTATCATTGAAACATACCATGAATTGAGAACATTTGAGAATACTTACCCAAAGGAGGGTCCAGACGGTTTTTCTGCTTAAAATTTTAAAAACGGTGTCACTCTGTCGAAGAGACTATAAATGATCTCAGGGCCATGTGTGATCATTGCTTCTTTATTCCTTATTTGGATACAGATACAATCTCTTATGTAGCATTGAGGCTGTTCAGCAGTAGTAAAAATAAGTGCTTTTTATTTAACCAATGACTGAAGTTCCCCGCGGTAGAAAGACACGTGTCTGAAGCACAGAGGGCTCCCTTTCGGACTGCGGGGCAGTTGGGCCACCGTCCAAGCTGCAGCAGGACCAGAGCTTCCTGTAAGATCTAACGCAAGATTCACTCTCCCGCCCCAAAGCTTAATAAGATGTAAGGAAAACACATAAACGTAAGGAGAGAGGTGAAGACAGTGTGGAGATGAAGCTGAATTCTTTTTTTAGTCCTTGCCACGCTCCGCGGCTTTGCAGAGGGTCAGTGCTCTCTAGAGAGGGGATCCGTCCGTCGCGCCGTATAGTGCTTTCATTTATTTAACATTAAACTTTATGCTAGTTTGTTCCCTGTAATAAACTTCCATGAATGTCTACGATAAGCAATGACCCAAATACCTACTAGCTTCAGCTCAGACAAGGAGATAACCCTGCTGCAAGTGAAGACTCTGCCATTCTGTTTTTAGTTAGTCGACGCGTCCTTACCTCCTGTCTCTGTTCATTGCAGAGGTTGATCCTTTACGTTTCCACGACATGGTTTCTCTGCATAACTATAAAGCATCTGTTTCCACCACGCCACACCATGCATTTTTATTACAACATTTCCAAGGTGTATCTCCTTAGCGGTATAATCAGTATAGCTACTGGCATCTGGACATCACCTGGACATGCCAGTCATTTTTTCCATTCCTGTACAATCGCTGGGTTATCCCTGAGTCACAGGTATCCTTTTGGCTAGACTTTAAGAGACACTGACTTACAAAGAAGCTACTGTAAATAAAAATTACATCATGCGAGAGGGACTTTTTTACCCTTCGAGAGTATTCAGACTATGAATATAGTTAGTTGATCTATATTCATAATTGATCTATATTCAAACTATGGTCTTCACCTCTAATCTTGGAGTTTTCTCTCTGAATTGCTCATAGTGTAGTACATCTAGAACATTTTGACAAATTGAATGTATTCTGCAATTATTTAAATCATGACTAAGTGGCCTTTTTGGCACTTATATTGTGATTTCTCACTAAAATAATTCTAAGCCCTTAACTAAAAAAAAAAAAGTGTTCTCACAAAATGCATCAAGTTTTTCATATATTGGGCAGAACTACATTCACCAAAATTACTAAGGTAGTTAAGGAAGAAATGAGACTATGGAGAAAGGAACCAAAAAATCATGGGAAGTTTGACAAATCTGCCCATATAACTCGTAAAATCGTTTTCCCTTTCAGACCAGGGATCAGGTTATCACCTGATTCCCAATCTAGGCTCCAACTCAAACTAACTGGAGTCAGCTGATCTTCTGAGTTAATATGTGATAAGAGCTCAGGATAATGTTAGGCACATATAAGCTCCCAGGAAAGTTAGTTACTATCAGTAATTTGGTTAATTGACATTAACCAAATCAATATAGTAATATTTTCCACCCTGTTTAAAATTTCCACCGTAATAGTCGCATACAAATGTAGAGAGTCGGACCAATAATGGAACTGGAGTTTCACCAAACGTGGTCGAGGAGGGGCCTCCATGGGCCCTTTGTGTGGTGGTTTATCATCGCACATTGTGCTTCTCTGAACCCCTGACACAAATCCCCTTCATTCTGGGGCAGCAGCCGCCGCGGGGAGCAACTCTGATTCGGGGAAATTCATGCTTTTTAATAAAGATGTTTGTTTGCACTTGTTTTGATATTATCATAGCAAAGTAGTAATGGATGAGCAAATTAGTTAACTGGATGCATATCAATTGGATGCTGCCAAGTGTATAAAAGAAAATCCAAGTGTAAGTGCTGATTTTGAAGAACAATATTGTAACTACTTCTCTGACCTTGTTTTAAACTGTTAAGAACTTATCTGGAATTTAACAAGCCCATTATAAAAACGGTCTTATTCAGTAATGATAGGTTAGATCCATCTTTTCTGGACAATATTTTATCAGCCATATTTTGTTACCAAATACATCTGAAGTTAAGAAAAATATATCAGTTGGAACATATTCTGTCATTCAGACTTATCTCATATAAACTTAATTAACTCCACTATCCAATTTAACAAAGTTTCCACAGAATTTTATGATCTCATTATTATGGTGTTAAATCATAGACATCTTCTATTCTGAAGAAACAAAAGACATTTTGAAAATCTGTCCCATAGAAGTAAAATTCTTAAAAAGAAAATTTAATTTTTTTTTTTTACTTAGTATTATACAGTCAAAATTACTGTTGGTGACAGGTTCAGGTCTTACCTTTTATGTAATATTAGAGACTTAAAAAAACACAAATATATATATATTAGAAACATCTTTCTTAATTATCTAATATAGATTATTTATAAAATTCAAGAAGTCAGAATTTGAAGAAGAAATAAAGATGAGCAGAAAAATGAAGTCTCTGTAGGAACCTGTTTGATCTCAGATGCCCAACAACTTTAACAGCCCAAAACCTACGCAGGTCTAGACACTTTAAATACTTAAAAATGAAAGTTTTTATTATTTTCAACTAGTTAATTTTCCGATGGTCTCGTAGGATTGAAGTTAAATCTGGGGCTATGTTGGCACGTTTTCTGAATTACTTATTATTATGTTTCCTGAGTTATTAGGCCAACACTATCTTGCTGGCCTCACGTCCTAAAAGGTAACCATGAATTAATTTATAATGATAATTCACAGAGGCAGAGTGTGATAACATCACAAATAGAAATGAGTGGTCATATCCGGGGAAATACTTCTGCTAAACTTTATACAGTGTGAACTATCCCTTCCTCATAGAGCCACGTTTTTAATAAAAGCAATAAAAAAATTGTGGAACTTACTGGCTCTTTGCAAAAGGGCTACATTCTGGGGGGTCCCAAATGCCGTAATGAAGCAATTGGTTTTGCAAACAGTGAGCATTCGTGATGATACGTAGAAACGAGGTTACTGTTGAGTCTGTCGCCAGTGCAAAGGTCTCATGCTTGTGAAATTCACTGCTGCGAAAGAAAATCTCCACCCTGAAGTGCTGTTTATTTAAAACCTTATACTTTCCTGCTGAACCGTGGTCTCCTGTCTGATGTTAGCCTCAATTTCAGTTTTTCTAACTACAACTGTTTCCCTTTAGACACGCCTGTGAGGAAAACTCAAGCCAACAAACGCGTTCAAGGTAAATGCATTGATCGTAGCAATGTGCACACGGAACACGTGTTGTCATGTTAAGACAGGAGCGTGCTTTCATAGGTGGCGCTGGACTTTGTTCTCTGTCCGGGAGAAAAGGTAGCCAACACGGGGGCACAGATCTCGGATGACAAGAACATGAATTGCTCATGTTCTGCACTATTAGTAAAACTCTAAGAACAGATACTAAGGAAAAGGCAGTTTTCCTCATCGGAAGTGCTGGGTGCACTGAGCCCTTGAGTAAGACGCAAGTCGAGTTAACACGAAAAGAAACCCTTGAATGTCGGGTCTGAACGAAAGTGAGCACAGGACTGGAGTCTGTAACACGCTACTGTTTGAAGCAGGGACACTGTCCACATAGGGGAAATTGTTAATGTAGCTACGTATACAATGTGGATATCATGTATACAAGACACAGGTACATATCACCCATGCACTACAATATTCCTCATAACTATGTTTATGTGCATTTTCTAATCTTCCACTTGGGTTACCTTCCATTCTGATACATTCGAAAATCACAGGTCCCCTTTGGAAGTTGGAGTAAATTACAAATTTGAAATGTTCAGAAGAATTAGGTACTGAACGTCAAAAATTTCAAGTCTTATAAATTCATTATGGGTTATATTTGTTTTTAAACTAATCAAATGCAGACATTTCAAATTACATAATCAATGGTACAGGAATTTTTGATTAAAGAATGTATTAGGGATTTCTTTTAAACATCCAAACTTATTGAAATTTTTCAAAGAACTAAAATTATCACTTTAAATTATTCTCATATACCTTTAATCAGAGGATAACCTTGATTTCATCATCATAAATGAAGGATATTATTAAGAAAGCATAATCTCCAGGTCCCTCCATGAGGTTTCAATGGGTAATAGATCCTTCTTTCTTACAGCTGCATAGTACTCCATTGTGTACATGTACCACAGCTTTTTTATCCATTCATCTACTGATGGACACTTGGGCTGTTTCCAGATCTTTGCTATTGTAAATTACATTGCTATGAACATAAGGGGGCATATATTTTTTCTGGTTGGTGTTTTGGGATTCTTAGGATATATTCCTAGAAGTGGGATCACTGGGTCAAATGGCAGTTCTATTATTAATTCTCTGAGGTAACACCATATTGTTCCCTATAGTGGCCGTACCAGTCTGCATTCCCACCAGCAGTGTACTAGAGTCCCCTTTTCTCCACACCCTCACCAGCACTTGTTGTTTGATGATTTGTTGACGGCGGCCATTCTGACAGGTGTGAGGTGATACCTCATTGTTGTTTTAGTTTGCATCTCTCTGATGAGTAGTGACAAACATTTTTTATATGTCTCTTGTCCATCGGTATGTCCTCTTTGGAGAAGCATCTATTCAGGTTCTCTGCCCATTTTTAAATTGAATTGTTTGACTTCTTTTTGTTGAGTTGTATAAGTACTTTATATGTTTTGGAAATTAACCCCTTATTAGATGTATCACTGACAAATGGAAGGACCTGGAGAGTATTCTGCTAAGTGAAATAAGCCAGTCAGAGAAAGACAAGTACCACATGATCTCACTTATATGTGGGATCGAATGAACAAAATACACTGATGAACAAAATAGATCCAGAGACATGGAAACATGGGACAGACTGACCAGTCTCAGAGGAAGAGGGGCGGGGGATGGGAAGAGTTGAGCCAAAGGACTTACGCGCCCTTGGACACAGACGGCAGGGTGAGGGCCTGTGGCAGGGAGGGACAGGAAGGCGGGTATCTGTGACACTCAACAATAAAGACAAAGCAGAGCATGTTGGAAAAGATTTTTTAAAAGAAAGCATAATCTAAAGCCTATTATAATAAAAACACGGTCTTCTATAAACAGAATCATGCATAGATTATATTTCAAACTCTCAAGTTTCATCACAATTACAACCTGTCCGTTCTTTCTTCTTCCTCGTCAGGATCTAGAAGACGATCGCGAGAAGGCCGTTCTCAGTGAAAACCCAGACCAGACAACAAAGCCGACACGGCCCTAAATCCTGACCTTAGAGACCAATCCCGAGAGCCACTGTGACTCCGGGAAATGAACCACACGCGGCAACAAAAAGCAACCATCGAACAATTCTGAATGCAAATTTAGTTATTTTTGTGTCAGGAAAATCAGGGAAATTGTGGGGTTAACCTACTGTGGGATGGGCACTGAGGGAATTCAAAGATCTGACGGGCTTTCACATGTTGATATCAGAAGTCCTAGCCAACTTGGGGATCCATCAGGGAGAATCCTTATCACCGGTTTCAGTGAGACGTAAATCTCCGTCGTTAGCTGTTATCCTACTCGGAAGATTCAACCTTGGGTTCATTTAGTGGACCGACAAAATGCATGCCCCCAGTGACTGCTCCACGGAAAGCTAACCTGTGGAAAAGGGTGCTCAGTATTAAAAAATAATAATAATACAAAACTTGTACATCGAAAGGTTTTGCACATTTCTCATGCAGTGTGAGTTTACTGATAAATTATGTTATAATTATGTATTTCTACAACTCATTGTGTACTCTTGAAATGTTTGTTATATGTTTATCCTAGGACATTCTTTTATCTCAAACATTTCGATAGAACCATTGTTCAGGTATAAAGAGAATTACTTCAAACTGGGTACTTCAGAAAACTCAAGACTTTAAGTTAATAAGTGGTGTGGACATGGGAACAGAATTTTATACCTTCTTTTTTTTTTTTTTTTATAACAAATACTCATTAAAGGCAGTTGAATAAATTTAGTGTTTCTTGACTTTTTAAAACCATCATTTTTAAAAGGAATCATTATACAATCAATCAATGCTTAAACATGAACTGAGTCCCTAATATAACCCCAGAACCGTACTAAGTTGTGAGGAGCAAAAAATGAATTAGACAGCTCTTGTCCTCACAGGGTGGAGAGAAATCATCAATCCTCTGCAATGCACCACGGCTTGAATCGGCACGACACAAGCACAATACATCAATTAATGTTTCCTGAGGTTGGGCTAGACATGGAAGGAGCCACCAAGATGCTCTTAACCGAGACTGAAGTGATATTAGAATCCATTTCATGGCCAAGGGGCAGGGAGGGGGGGGATTTGTTTGCTGAGAATGATAAAGGTTTCAGATCGATCGGCTCCGATCTCAACAAGTTGGACTCGCTGATATAAGAGCATTTAAGAACGCGCATTCATACTGGGATGAGAAACGGGTGGGTGATTATGTAATAAAATCATGTCAGACGCTGGAAGCCCGCTCTTGGGAGGCTATAAAACGAAAGATGCCGATCTTGACTCTGCGTGTCCAGCTGGGATCAGAGGCTCTGTTCGTTCGGACGTAGCACTGAAGGACCTGGACAGCCCCGGGGGCAGCTCAAAGTATCGGTTCTTCCTCCGCAGATGAGCTTGGGTGGAGAAGTCAGGTGTAGAATTGGGGGACGTTGCTTAGTGAAGCGTGCGATGGCCCAGGGTGTGCAGAATGCTTTCTGGCCTGGGACGGTGGTGACACTGACGTCCGCTATTAGGAGCCTCTGGCAGGAAAGAGAAGGACATAGGAGCTCAGGACGCATGCAGAGACTTCAGAGTAATCTGGAGGGAGCGTGGCTTTGACCTCACAGTGATTCGGAGGAGGACCTAAGGTGGTGAGGTAGGAAATACTAAACTATCGCCAACCCAGACGGCTTGGATCCAAGCAGAGAGCATGTCGGTCATGCGCTGGAAGCGCACAAGTTAATTAAACAGACAAATGGTAGATATATTTATTAACTGAGCCCCCTTCGGAGTGGTTATTTGATGACAAGCCAGGAATTTCAGTTGGACGGTGAAAATCGTGATCTAGCACGATAGAAGTGAGGTGGAAAGTTCGAGGTCTCTTTAAAGACCTCTAACTTAAAGACGTTTTTTTAACCACAAAAAGAGCAAGAAATCAGTATCGGCTTGTCCACAGAGTTTAGCACATCTCTCTGGTGAAGTGCCGTCTCTCAAGTGACCCGTGTAACTATATGTAAAGAAAAAAAGAGGAATTGTTAATAAACTAGAAATAAATTAATAATACAAGGAATAATGTTAAAGTCTATGAAAGTGGAACATAATTTAAATCCTTTAAAGTTTTTGAAGGGTTTTATTAGCTCTAGTTTTATACGAAAAAAGTGAGGTTCGAGGAGTTTATGTAACTTTCTTTCTTGTTTCTCCCTGTATTCTTACATGGGGCTGTCGGCTACCCACACGTCCGGCATCCAACAAGTACAAACCCGGACAGATGTACAAACATTCATTTTTGCAGTTGTGTTCACTCCATATCACACGATTTCAGCTCTTTTTCTAACGTTCCTTTGCATAAGTAGCATATAGTAGGTTTGAGCACCATGACCTTATGTCTGTCTTTTGCAGCGAACCCCCTTAATGGACCCTGAACCCCCTTAATGGACCCTGATACACGAGAGCCCCAGCCCTTCAGTGAATATCGCTCAGATTTCCGCCGATACCACAACTCTCCCAGCCACCATTCACGTTCTTGTCCCTGTGGATAACAGCAATTTCTAAACTGTTACAGAAATGGAATCACACCGCATGTGTGGCTTTCTCTGATGTGCCTTCTCTTGGGTTAATATGTAGGCGCCCAACAGCAGGTATATGATTACAATTTTGGAAACCGTCCGATCGTATTTCAAAGGAGTTCCCTTTGCGTTTCCAACAGAAGCATACGATCGGTTCCGATTCCTCTTGCCGACATGACGTGGTCAATACGTTTATTTTAGTTATTCTAATAAGTGTGCATTGACACCTCATTGTGATTTTTTTTTTTTTTTATCCTCACCCGAGGACATTTTTCCATTTTTTGTACAGATAGAGTGGGAGGGAGAGAGAGGAACAGAGAGAGAGAGAAACATCGACGTGAAGGGACACATCGAGTGGCTGCCACCCGCATGACCAACCAGGGCCGGGGACAAACTGCAACCGAGGTACATGCCCTTAGTGGGAACCGAACCCGGGTCTCTCTGGACCGCAGGCCGACGCTCCAACCGCTGAGCCAAATCGGCCAGGGCTCATTGTGATTTTTAAGTCGCATTTCCCGAATGCCTGATTTCCATGTGCTTCTTTGACATTTGTATGTCTTCTTTGATAAAGTGTCTGTTCAAATATCCTGCCAGTTTTTAACTGGGATGGTTTTATAAATTATTATTATTGAGGCTCCAGGCTCCTTATATATTGTGGATCCGAGCTGTTTATCAGCTATATAAGGTGAAAATATCTTCTCCCAGTATTTGACACCTCAAATGTCTCATATTTTTGCTTTTGATAAATTTTGCTTTTGGTGTCATATCTAAGAAATCTTTTATTAATCAAAGGTCAACACTGTTGTGGTTTCTTTTAGACGTTTTATTAGAAATTAATTTTTACATTGAAGTGCATTATTCATTTTGAATTAATTTTTGTTTATGACACTGGTATAAACCACCCCCCCTTAGATAGTCAGTTAGCCCAGCGACATTTTCGGGGAAGACTACCCTTTGTCAATTGATTTGCCTTTACACCTCTGTCAAAAATTCATATATTTGTGGATATATTTCTGTTCCTTTTTTTCTATTCTTCCCTTTTTATTCTGTTATATTAATCTGTTTGTGCATCTGAAACTTAAACACCACACTAACTGGATTAGGGTAGGTTTAAAATGAGTCATAAAATAAGGTATAGTTGGTACTTCAACTTCGATCAATTTTTTTGTTTTTAACCAACAATTACTTTGATAATTTATTTTTGTTACAGAAGTTTCTCCTTTTTTCCCCCTAGACACCCTCCTCCTCATCCCGCCCCCCGCCGAGCATTGTTGTCTGTGTCCATTGGTTACAAGTACATGCATATAAGTTCTTTGTTTTATCTCATCCCCCCCAACACCCAAGGTTTGTCAGTCTGAACCATACTCTTTTCTATGTCTTTGGGTCTGTTTTGCTCATCAGCTTTTTTTTGTTCATTATATTCCACAAATAAGTGAGATCATGTGATATTTGTCTTTCTCTGTTTGGTTTATTTCGCTTAGGATAATACTTTCCAGGTCGCTCCATGTCGTCTCAAAGGACACGAGATCTTTCCTCCTTATAGCTGCGTAGTATTCCACATCCCACTTCTAGGAATATACCCTAAGAAGCCTGAAACACCAATCAGGAAGAATATATGTACCCCTACATTCATAGCAGCACTATTTACAATAGCTCAGATCTGGAAACAGCCCAAGTGTCCATCATAGATGAGTGGATAAAAAAGCTGTGGTACATATACACAATGCTCAATTTTTTTCAAAGCTGTTTTGGCTACTTTAAGTAATTTGAATTTTCATATAAATTTATAAATCAACTTGACAATTTTTTTAAAAAAGACATACGTTGGATTTTTTTTTCAGATTACATTAAATCTATGGTTTAATTTGGGAATAATCAAAATCGTCACAATATTGAAACTCCAAATCATTAACAAAATACATCTCTCAGTTTACATAGGTCTTCCTTAATTATGTACCAGTGTTCAATCATTTCGGTGCACAGGTCTGGCACATCTTTTGCAGATTCTTCTTGAACCCTTAATACCTTAATCTTTATTAATTTTTTATAAATGGCATTGTTTTTGTTTCAGTTATCAACGGTTCATTTTCTGTGAGTTGATCTTGTATACTGCAACTTTGTTAAACTCACTTATTAGTTTTTAGTAATTTTAATAGTAACTTTTTTTTCCCCACAGCAGAATAGTATTAAAATTTTGTGTACCAACAGAATGTACCACAGCTTTTTTTATCCACTCACCTACTGAAGGACACTGGGGCTATTTCCAGATCTTAGCTACTGTAAACAGTGCTGCTGTGAACATGGGGGTACATGTGTTTTTCAAATTACGGTCGTCCCTCGCCACTTTGCGCTTCAACTTTCGCAGCTTCACTCTATCATAGTTTTTTCAAATATATTTATTAAAAAGTCGATCGAGAGATTGAAAATGATACAGCACGTGCTCAGCTGTCTGAGTCACTTATACCCTGTATTACAATTAAAATTAAAATCACTGTACCTATGGACTGTAGGCCTATGTCTTCGAGCACCCCAGGAATCCTTCAATGCCAGGTGCAACTCCTTGACCTCTCTGTGTGTGGGCAGTAACTTTTTTCCAAAAAATCAGGTGTGATGAAACCAAGCCAATCAGAGCGTGCTATGCACTGATTGGCTATCCTAGAATCTTCCTGTCCTGGCCACTGATTGGCGCAGCCTCAGGCAAGTTCTTTCTCTCATACACACTTCTACATCACTACGCATCGGAAGCATCTTTGCTCTTGTGTTTGCGATTTCTGAGAACTTTTATCTAAGCCCCATGATGGCTCCTAAACGTGCTGCTTCTTCTAAGCCTTCTGACGATAAAACTAAGCACCGGAGGACGATGCTCACCATCCAGGAGAAGGTGAAACTCTTGGATATGATCAAAGAAAAT